ATTACAGAAATACACCTATATAAGTTTTTGATACATCTTTTCACATGTTCAATTGTGTAAATATTTTACTTAATTTTATCACTATACTGCCCAGAAATTTGTAAGTTTATGCAAAAAAATTTTAACAACAGAACAGTTTATCTTAAAAAATGAATAATAATTAATATATAAAGAAAAGCATTGCTTTATTTAACACCTTTACAATTAATAAAAATAGTAACAATTGATTTCTTACTTTTCATGAAAGTTATAAAACGAATTAACTAAAACGTTCAAATTATACAATTTAAATCCTACCATATAGCATTATATCTTAAGGAACGAAGATACCAGCTATAAACAGAAACATTAAAATGTATTTAATATATTTTGATTATAGTTATATTAAATAACCTATTTTAAGTCCTTTTTTTTCACATCTGGAAAGAAAAACACATGACGTGATATTTTTGACATAGTTGTCATATTACATAAAAAAAGAAAATTAATACTTACGTGTGAAAAATAATGCGCGGAATTTTTTTCGAGAATCTATTTGTGCATCCATATGCAATACAAGCTGACATGCTTCAAAAAGAAAAGAAAAAAATGTTGCAATGACAGACTTCCTTGCACGAGCCATGGTGATAACAGGAAGATGGCCGCCAAGCTTCACCGTTTGAGTTGAACCTTCCCTCCTTCTATTCTAACCTCCTTGTGGAAATACGCGCCCCGGGCGCCAGTTATGCTCGCTACTCCACTGTGACCTGAGATTTCCAAGTTGCGCTGTTGTCGCGAATCATTTGAGCTGAGATGACTTTATTTATAAATTATGCCGTGCTTAGCTAATATATCAAACTTCCTTTTTGCCAGTTCAATAAAATAAAGATGATCTAGGGGGCTGAAAGCAGAAAACTACTTAAAATACACATAAGAAAGTTGAAGAAAGGGAGCCAAAACGACAGGCGTCTCAAGACCAGAAGAGGAAAATGCTTATCTTCACTGTCATTGGCTGTATACCACGTGACACTCCCGAAACGTTTAGGCAAAGAATCTGTAAGAGATTCTTTGGTTTTAGGCGCTATTTCTGGTTTTTCGCCAACTGCAATTGTGTTTCTCGCCAATTGTTAGCGGTTTGTTTAAATCAAGGATATTGCTTTTTTTTTATTATCAAAATGGATATGTTTAAATGTAAATCTTGCAGTTCATCTTTTTATGCGAAAAGATATTTGAAAGCGCATGCACAAAGAATACACGAATTTAAATAATAAAGTTGCACCATTTTCGTGTACGTATTGTACGAAGCAATTTTGTACAAAAAATTCTTTAGCTAAACATAGGATACGTATCCATAATATAAGGCGAAGTAATATTAAATGCGGCGAAGACGAATGCCGGGAACTATTTCCTACTACAGGAGATTTAAGATCTCACTTAGAGACTTGCCATAATTACAGCAATATGACCAAATGTATAAAACTGGAGTTTCAAAAAAAAAGCAAGGTATGCAATGAACTTTTTATTATTTTGTTTTCCTAGTTCAATTATAAATAAGCAAAGTATATTGCGTAACTTCTGTATATAGCCCTTAATCTTTTTACATTAAAAATTAAATAGCTTCATTAAAGCTAGTTCAGCAATACATTTATTTGAAGAAACACCATATATATGGTATTATTAATTTAAGCTGTTTCAGCACACAAATATGCATTTATTTGAAAAAATTAACAAATTAATTACTTTGAAACATATAATTTCAGAACACTATAGTTTTAACAATTAAGATTATTTTTCTGTGTGGCTGCAATCTGCATATTTTTATTTACTAATCAGATGCCCTTATTATGAAAATTTATACATTTATTTATTTATTAGACTTTTATTCATGGCTATCGGATGAAGAAAGAAAAACAAAGACTCATTTTGTGGTAGATTCATCTGGGCAGAAACAGAAACATAAAAATTACACCAGGACGCTGTTTTGCTGTAATAGAAGTGGGACATACAAAGCAAAAGGCAAAGGTGAAAGACAGCTAAAAGCACAAGGGACTTCCAAAACAGGTTTCTCTTGCACAGCTACTGTCATACTAAAAGATTTTGGCAATCGTTTTGAAGCTGTATATTTTAAAGAACATTACAAGCATGAAAAATCCCTTTGTCATCTCCCTATTCCTAAACAAGAAAAGCAAAGTATAGCAGGCAAGTTATGTGTTAGACCGTATTTTGATTGTATTAATTTCTCTTAAATAAAACTATAATTACTTATGCAGTTGGAGCCTTTCTAGCTGTCATTAATATACAGGTGGTTCAAAATTCCAAAAGTGAATGAATTTTAATATTAATGAAGTTGATAACGAAAATCATTCATGGAAAATTCAGATTGGGAGAGAAACACGCGAGTGTGAAATTTAAAATTAGGCTTAACAGCAGACTTAATTTGCATAGATTTTAAATAAAATTATCAGCTTTGAGGACAATCAGACACAGGTATCTCTTCAGGAGTACAAAACTTTTGCAAAATGGAAGGAGTGGGTGGGTAGAGCAAAGTAAAGATGAACGTAACACTGTCTGCTGTGGAAAATAATAATGAAGCATGTAAAACCAAGATATTATAATTCTAAATGTGTTATGAAGGAATTAACACATTTATAATTCTAATATCTTAATTTGTTATATTTCATTACTGTTTTATCTGAATGGTTCAATGTTTGTGTTTCTCTGTCAACTGCTTTTAATATAAATTTGGATAATTCTCTTGAAGAAGAGGGACCTTGAAAATGCTGAAGTTTGATTCAAAATCTAGATGAAACTAAGATTAATATTTTGCCTGATTTAAAATTATGGTAAATTGTTTTCTCTTGTATTTATGAACAGCATATTAAATATTTATATAAAAGTGATTAATTATCTATATTTAAGTAACCTGAGATTTGTAACAATTGTTTTTCTTATTATTAAATTAAGTATCATATTTCTTACTAATCTACTGTATAGGCATATTTGTAAATTTAAAGATACTTTTTTTTATTCCATTAGTTTTTAGTATATAAGATACATCTGTCATGATATTTACATTTTTCAGTAACTATATTATACTAATGAGCTAATAGTCAGTTTAGAGTTTTCGCCAGTAATCTATTGTCACATTTGTGAACAGGTGGTGTGGCTACACCGGACGTTGCCAGAGCGGACACGTACAATTTCGCGATCAGAGCAGACACTTCGAAACTCATCGTGGTTAGAGCTGCACATCTTTTCCCCATCTTAGAACAGATAAAGGGTGCAGATAAATAAGTAAATAAATACTTTTAAAAATTGCAAATATAATTTAAAACAGTATTTTAAGTGGCAAATCTCTTTTACCGATGTTTCTCTGTTTTTGCACTCGATTATCGAATTACAATGATAAATACATTTTTGCCAATCATATTTAATTATTTATATGTATTTAAATTGTTATGATATTATAGTGCGAATGCATTTTAAACATAGCGAAATGTAATAAAAATAAAAACTTTTGTGTAAATATAAAATGTAATAAAAATAAAAATTTCAGGGATTTTGTGGAAAACTGTATTTTAGAGTCAAATATTAGAACAGGTGCAGTTACCATAAAATTAATTAGCTGCATTAATGTAAGTAAAAATAAATATTAGAAGTAAAATATACAAAACAGATACTAGTAAATAAATACTAGCTATCCTTTATTATAAAGGCATAAATATAATTTACAATTTAGTCCAACCTAGTTACAAAACTTAAAGATTTTAGACATTTTTCTAAATTGTTTGATGTTTCGAATTCTTTTAGGATGTTTTTAATTCTTTCATCCAATTTTACATATGCTTTTTTCCTTGTTATTTCAGGGTCGCCTAATTCTCTGGCTTTCAAATTAAAAGACACTTTTTTGTGTTTCTTCTTTTAGTATTTTAACTAATAAGTGCACAATAGGCTGGTTTCTGCCAGTGATTGTGTTTAATTTAGAATTCCACCTTTCAACAGAATTATTTGTCTTATGATGCTGTCCATGTACATTCCGTATTTTAATGGGCATATTTTGATTTTCCATTCACTACTCGACAAAAGAATCAATGAATGTGGTAAGTTTGTCAAGTGCTAAAAGCTTTTTCCTATACAATGCTCTAAGTATCATCTACATGTTCTATTGGCAAGTAAGCTAAGGCAGAAATCATTCTACAGACATGTCTTATATCTTCGTTCTCTTTATATTCCTTTATTACACCCATTTCTCCCCATTCATCTTATGTCACAAACATTGATTAAAATGAAAGTTACAACCGAATATAGTCGAACTGGGAAATTCTAACATACAGCTATTGATGGCTGCGGCTTCAAAATCAAATTTTATAATGTCCGGCTTCTACTTAGGGTACCAACATTTCACTTCCTGAAACATTGCAACTTACGTTGCTTGTGTCTTATAAGGCAGAAATGCAAAAAGCGCTGGATAAATATTGGTCTCAGTTGCTGTACTCCTTAAGTTGATGTTCAAATTTCAAAACACTTACTATTTTATATATTGTTGAAAGAATTGATTAGGGCAATGAAATGTTCATTAAAAAAAAATTTCAGTTGCAAGCTGATATTCTAATATCATACCATTGTTTGCATGGAATTCATATTTAGTAGGTATAAAATAATATAAAATTTTCTTTTCAAGTTCATATAAATGAAAAACTTTATTTTGCATATAGTATATATAATTTTTATCTCCTAATTATCTTTTTAAATTATTTCAGGTAAATTATTGCAGGGGGTGGAAGAGAAACGAATTTTGCAAGATGCAAGATTCTCTTCGAGAGATGATATTGAAACAAAACAGTTAATAACGAGAAAAGACCTGCATAACATTAAGAGGGATTTTGGTCTGAGCATTAATTCTAAAGGATTAATTTTAACAGATGATGAGACAAGTGTTTGGTCCTGGGTTAATACGATGTCGCAAATGGAATTCAACCCCGTTCTGATGTATAAACGTCAAGGAGAAAAATATGCAAATGTAAACGAAAATGATTTCATGTTAGCAATAATGACAGAATTTCAAAAAAAAAAAAAAATGTTGATAGAATTTGGTAATGATAGAATCTGTATTGATTCTACACATGGAATTTCTGCTTATGGATTTGAACTTGTAACATTGCTTGTCGTTGATAAGTATGAAGAGGGCATACCAGTTGCTTTCTTAATATCATCAACAGTATCAGAAAAAATTTTGGTAAACTTTTTTAACTGCATCAAAAAGATCATTGATATCAAGCCAAAGGTTTTCATGAGCGATGATGCTCCCATGTTCTATAATGCATGGGAGCATACATTTGGTTCTTGCCAAAAATTATTATGTGCTTGGCATGTGGACAGAGCATGGAAAGGTCATTTGAATTCTGTGCCAAAACATAAAAGACAAGCAGTGTACAAAACTTTAAAAACTTTAATGTATGAATTAGATGAAGAAATGTTCAACAAAATGTTAGAAACATTTTCTGAGCAACTATGTGAAGATGAAGACACGCGAGAATTCCATAAATATTTTATGACATACTATTTTGAAAGAGCCAAAATGTGGGCATACTGTTTCAGAAAAGGGGCTAAAATCAACACCAATATGTATGTTGAAACATTTCATCGGAAATTAAAATATATTTATTTAGATGGGAAGAAAACCAAACGGGTTGATAAATGTATCATCGAGTTAATTAATCTTGTCAATGATCAAAAGTTTGACACTTACATAAAATATCAGAAAGGAAAAATAACAAAGAAGACAACAAAAACATTTCAACGTCATAAAGCTGCTGAGCTTTTAAATGCTAACTGTGTAAAAAAAGATGATGTATGGGAAGTTTCATCAGAACTGGGAGAAAATTCTTATAAAATTATCAGAGATCATGTTTGTAATGATTTATGCCTCATAACTTGTAGACTTTGTTCATGCTGTTTAAAAGCTTATAAATGTACATGCCATGATTATTCTATTTTAAATAATATGTGTAAACATATACATTTTGTAATCATGTCTGAAAAAAAGACAGAACCTTATATAGGCCCTCTAAACAGAATACCTACTAGGAATAATTATGAATCTTTAACAGTAAGTAAAACATGCATTAGTGAACTTATTCAATCTTCATTTTCAATTTCTGAAAAATTAAACTGCATTGAAAATATGGACATTAATCTTGCTACACAAATAAAAAAGCATTTAAATGCAATTGAACATTTATTAGAAGTTCCTTTGTTAGATAAAGCACATGCTTCAATTTCAAAAGAACCAACAAATAAAAAAATTGTTCCCCAAAAGAGATTTTATTCAGTTAAAAAACGAAAAGTGTGTAAAAAAGTACAGTTTGGAAATCCTTCAACAGCAGAAAAAAAAAATAATACCAAACCTATTTTATTAAATCAATTAATTGTTAATTCAGATCCCAGCTATGATCATTTGTATTGCAGTGAATTGAATGCCAAAAGTTTAAAAGAAAAGTCACTAAATAATGTTTAAGAAAATTATGCTATTTAAGTATTTTTAAAATTTGTGTATTTATAACAAATTATTTGATTTTTATGTAACTAATCTGGATGTCTCATTTTAATTTAATTATGTATCTTATTATAAATTTAATAAAATTGTTATAACTGTTCTACTGTATATCTAAGCTATGCATTTATCCTATACTTAATCTACGCATACGTTAAATCTATTTATAAAGTCATGCTTTATAATAACTATTCTACTGTAAATGTGAATTACACATTTATCATATACGTAATCATTGTCCAGTTAGGTGATAGGATTGCTGATGTTTCTTTAAATAATGAGTCCAGATAAGCAGGATGGTATGAACAATTTATTAGGAGAATAGGCACAATACTATTACACACAGAACAAAAATGGCTGAAAACAAATCAAGGAGAATAGGGATATTTAGCAATTCACTTTTAGCTCATGAAATAAATTCTAAAGTTTCCTAAATCACTCTCTCAGGATAAACACTAACTTGTAATTCAGCTAACTGCAAAGTCTGGCACCTGATTCACAAGCTCTCTTGTTCTCAGACCCATATTTATACTCTGCAGGATGTGTTATGCAAGATAAATGCAAAGTTCGTTATGACACGAAAACCTATTTTCGAAGCCCTGTGACCAATTCATCCAGAAGTTTCTAGAGCCATGCTGCAACAGGCATCTCAAGATAGATAACGCAAAATGCTTATCTTTACTGTCATTGACTATATATCACATGACAGTCCTGAAACGTTTGTTGGCTCTATTTCTAGTTCTCCTCCAACTGCGTATCTCGTCAATTGTTAGCAGTTTGTTTAAATCAAAGAGCTTGCACTTCGCTTTCTTTCTTTTTGCTTTTATTACTGAGATGGATATTTAAACATATCCATATTATATAGATATTTAAACATAATGCAAATCTTGCAGTGCATCTTTCTATGTGATGAGATATTTAAAAGCACATAAACGTATGCACAAAGATACCGTCGCTAAAGTTACGCCATATTCGTCATCAATTTTAAGCAAACACAGAATATGCATTCATAACGTAATGTGAAAAAAATATTAAATTCAGTGAAGTAGGATGTCTAGAACTGTTTCTCACCACAGGAGATTTAAGATCTCACTTTTAAGTTAGTTTTAAGTCACTTTAAGATTAAGATTAAAGACTCGCCATAATTATAATAACATGATAAAATGTATGAAACTTAGAGTTCCATAAAAAACAAGGTTTGTAATGATCTTTTCCTTATTTTGTTCTTTAGTTCAATTATAAATAAGAAAAATATATTACGTGACTTCTGTATATAGCCCTTAAACTTTTTATATTCAAATTAAATAGCTTAATGAATACGGTGTTATTCATTAAAGCTATTTCAGCACACACATTTATTTGAAAAAACATATATATGGTATTATTAATTTAAGCTGTTTCAGCACACACAAATATACATTTATTTGAAAAAATTAGCATACATTAATTACTATAAAACTTATAATTTCAGAACACTATAGTTTTAACAACTAAGATTATTTTTCTGTGTGGGTGCAATTTGTATATTTTTATTATAATGTCTTATAAAAATTTAACAAAAAATGCAACTTATTTTTTTTATCTACTGCCATGTATAATTTGTTGTACTACTTGTTCCTTAATATGGAAAAGTTGTTATAAAAGTGCACAGTATGGCTCATAATTTGATTTCAATGTCTCACTTTAACTTTTTTTTTTTTTTTTTTTGTCTTTTGACCAGGAGAATTTATTATGAATTATTATTATTGTTTTACATATATTATTATTAGTTACTGATGAAGATCAATAATGGTTTTGGTTTGGTTTATTTAATTACGGCTATCTGCCTAAGGGAAGGGATGCCTTCGTGGAGGACTTTCTAAGGGAAACTGGCTCGTATACACGTTACACATGGGAAAAACCATGAAAACGCCCATGCAGCCAGCCCATTCACAGGATTCGAACCTCGGACCGAACTACCAGTGTTCAGTGTCTTAACCGCTCGGCCTCTGGTGGGCTATATGAAATAACGAAAATTTGCTATCTTTGCTTTATTTCCAGCATAAATGCAAGTGTTTATTTTAGGAAAATAAAGCTGAATAAAATTTGTATATTTTTGCTAATTTTTTGAAAGATAATTTTAACTATTTCATTTGTATTATGGAGAATAACGAGAATGAAACAAGTAAAAACCTTTCATCAGATAACAAATAAGCGAAGATGCCAAATTTGAATATTAAGCGATAAAAAATTTATCTCAGATGTTAAAAATCTGTTGGTTTATATAAAAAGTTGACTAATTCTTAATACAGAATACTATAACAATGCAAGCACTGACATAGTTTTCATAACCCTACATTTAAAAAACATTATAATTTAAAGATATAGCTTTTCCTGAAAATACACCATAAAGTACCACATTTAACCAATTTGTTACAAGCTTGATACCATGTGAGCAAACTTCAAACTGCATATCAGTTAGATTAAAAATGAAGAACAAGAACTGAATATGAATAAGGTACTAAATTTTTAAAAGTCTATAATATAAACAGGCTAAATGAAATAATGCATAAGTGTATATTTAAGTATTTATGGTATTAATTTTAGAAAAACACCTATTGACTCAGGAAAGTTTCGTGAAATTTTAAACCAAGTACTGAAGTTGCATTCATGCCAAAATGAAACCACACTTTTTATATGCTCATATTTTATTGTGGAATGTAAATACAAGTAATCAGGAATACAATGAATTCACAATATTAAAAAATCACAGGTGGACATGAAGAATAATCTTACGAACACTCTATAAAACTGCTTTTAATTTTTATACAACATATGAAATTACCTTGAATTATAGAAGAAAGGTAGTTGAACAAATATGAAAATGAGATTTCATAACCAGGATAACTTCATGCAAAATTAAGAAAGCAGCTGCTAGAAATATTGATACTCTTCTGTTATGAGGATTGATTGTATGTATGTATATACATGTGCATGTCTATTTGTGTGTGTATGCATACATATATATATGCACATGCAAAAAATATATATACCAATTGTGGCCAATGTGCGGCTCGCGAGCCTTATACGGCTCTTGCAGGCAATTTGTGCGGCTCATGCATATAAAATATATGTATGAAATATGGTAAACTAAAACTATTCAGTGTCCAAAAGGAAGTAATTAATTAGTTTAGACTCTTTTTACAAAGTTATCAGGGATTTCTTTCTATTTAAAACCTCCTCCACTACTTCTATAATGATGTAAATATGAACTTGTGGCTTTTAGAAAATTTAAATGCAGCTCTCGAACATTCCTGAATTCAAACGTGCTTACTGAAATGAAGTTTGGCCAACTCTGATATATACATTTCTGAATCTGGTTCCGATAACAGAACAGGGCCAAAATATCTTGTGAAAGAATATATATTGAAATGCCTCACATTATTTATTAAGTGAAATGGATTTGAAAAAAAAAAAAAAAAAAAAAAAAAGGTACAAAAGTTGTATCTTCAAAATAAACAATATGTTAATATGTAATTCCTTAACATCAGAAAACATACTGACAAATTATCAATAACATAAATGATATTCTAATGGAAATTATAAGTAGATACACTTATAACTATTAAACCAGTCTGCAGTTATAAAATATAGCAATTTTAATTTTGACATCAGTTGCAAAAGTATTGCATAGCAGAAATATACTTTAATTCACAATGGCATTACCATAATATTCCTGTCATTGCAACTTACTTATTATAATACAAACCCAGTTATTTCAAATCAATTTCTATATAATTCCTGTGTAATATAGTACTTCAAATATACTGTTTGGTATGCCTGTTCACACTTGAATTCTTAATTTTGTTTTATAATTCTTTAATTATGACCGGAGAAATGCATGCAAATAATTCCATATGTTATAAAATGCGTTATATATTCCATTTTAATGTGATCATATCTTTACTTTGAACATCAAAATATGATTTTAGTCTTTGAAATATATTCATCTCATAAAGTGGTAAACAGCACATCGCAAACTAATGAACTACAATATAATATAAACAGTGTTAAATAAACAAAATGTTGTATTAACATTTAGGCCTGACTCTGGCTCACTTTGAAAAAACTGACACCACTTCTGAACCTTAATGTAAATTTTTTAAGCAAACTGTTGCTCCTTTTAATATTCCCCATCTTACTAATGAATTATTTTGGTAATTCATCACAAACGATGCAACTAGCAATTATGATATGGCGTTTTTATTTCGGCGATTCTAATTATTAAATTTTCGCCAAAAGTGGTAAACTTACACAGTTAAGTTCTAGTGTTAATGCTGACGTCCAAAGGAAAGAAAACCACGTGACCTGTAATAACCAATCAGCATTAGGTTACGCATTTTCCTCTTCTGGTCTTGAGACGCCTGTGCCAAAACGTAACTGGCACTAGAGTATAGTTGCTTTTTAAAGCTGTAGAGACTTACCAAGCTCAAGAGGTGGCGCCATCTATCTTGTCCGGTGACAGTTAGTCCATTCATCGTTGTGAAAAACCTGAAAAGAGAGTTGCAAATTTTCTAGTGTATCAATGAAGTACAATCAGAGCTTAAATTGCACCGGAGCCCGGCTCCGGTACTTCTTAATTTTTGGGATAAATCATCATAATTGTAGGCGGAGCGCACCTGAGCCCTAAATAAGAAGGCTCCGGCACTTATTTTATGTAACTGAACAACAATTTTAGTAGTTCAATTTCAGTAAATTTGGTGTGGCTATCGAATTATAACTCTAATATCAGACAATAATAGAATTAACAAAAATATGTTCGAAATGCTTTGTGGTGGTGCATTAAAATCCTCATTTTTAAACCCTATTATGCATAATCTTCCTATATTTATATTATTTGATACAGTTCATTTATTGAAATGTATACGAAACAACTGGTTCAATCAGAAAGATTCAAACCAAACATTTTTTATACCGTCATTTGAAAACTCAAATATTGTTTACAATTCCAGTGTTCTACATTTAAAAAAATTGTATGAAATAGAAAAAAATGATAATATTAAAATGGCTCCAACTTTATCAAGAAAAGTTTTATTTCCGTCTTCTATAGAGAAGCAGAATGTAAGTACTGCTATTAAACTTTTTGATGAAAAGACTTTAGCTGCTCTGCAAATTGAATCACAGAATAATAGAACTGGGTATGGAAAAGATGTCTTAGGAACTAAACATTTTATTGATATAATTTTAAAGTGAGGAAAATTGTGAATGTTAAACACTCTAAAAAGGCCGTACAGTTTCGAGATGTATTTATGCAGCCTATAAGGACACCAGAAGATAAAAGCTTACTCTCCTCAAATACGAAATTGCCCCCTTTTCCTTCGCACCTATGCTTGATTTTTCGCCCATCTGTGCAGAAAGACTTAGAAGGTGCAAAACAAGACATCTGTGTACTTTGTCTGTCTGTCTTACAAAATATTTTGGTTTGGGGACATTTTTATTCAATTTGCAAGATGTCAATTTGCTTTTATACAGATATTCTACACAAATTATACTAAATCAGATTAGAAACTTAAAAAAAAAAAAAAAAAAAATCTTAATGTAGTTCTTTAGGAAACGCTATTACTAATATCTTCGAAAGCAAGCAGTTCTGGCTTTTTGAATTAAATCCGTTCAAGAATGCCTCCTTATTCCAAAGCCCATCTATGTGAGTAGCACGGAGTATAATACTCCGTGGTGAGTAGGTCACGGAGGATGGAGGGACTCTTATGTACTTAAAACTGATTTCTCACCTTTCGCCGTAAGTGTGGATGTAGTGAAGAGGTGTGTGTTACTGTTTAGAAAGTGGGTAATGACACCGAAATGTCTAGTATCCAAGCAACGAATGCGTTTAGTTCGAATGTATTAATAATTTGATTAGATTATAGTAGTTCTATTTTTTAAGTTTTGGATTAAAAATGTATTTAAATTCTGCCAATGTGTTATGTGGCAACACCTTTTATTTAAATATTAGTAGACAGTTTTTATAGTAAAGAAAATCGTAAGTGATATTAATTTTAGAAATATCATCTCACAGTCTTGTTATGGAATTACATAGACGTAACGAGCATTTTTATTCGAGTAATGTTTTATAATAAACAATAAGGTGGGGAATTATTTAAATTATGAAAACCTAAAGCGAATAAAATTTACTTACTGCTATTTACAATATTTCCTCAAAAGTTTTATGTTTACGAAGTCAAGTTAACGAAACTAGCCCAGGTTAACATAACATGAATTTTCTTTTACGGTGTTAATAGAAATAGGTGAGTGCGTCTAATAAACGTTAAAAATAATAATAAAAAATATCTAATTAAGGGCCTTAGTTGCAGATTATGAAAGAGCTTCAAAAATTAATATTCCTGTCATTTGTAAATTAAATGTTCCATATAATTTTGCAAAAAATATGAATTGTAAAATGTCGGTGATAGAAAAAATAGAATCGAATATGATAAATATTTTTCAAAATGTTATAGAAATTGTAAACTTCAGTATTTGCCCACAGTTAAATAAAAAATGTAACTAAAGTGCAGAATTTCCCACTTATTTCTTTGACGCTTTAAGAATAATTAGATTTTTGTCAATTTTCTTTGACTTTTTAAGTGAAAATAGGGTGGTGTGTACATGGATAAAGTTAAGGGAGTGAGTGCACAATGCCATTTTTCTGCAATTCTGGGATGTTTTTTCAAGTGAAAATAGGTCGATATGTACTGCCACAGTAATTAAAATTGCATTTAAGTACATTGTTTTAGTTACTATAATAATTACTTGTTGCAACTCTGTAATTATCGTTACTGTTTTCGCTAAAGTATGGATATTCATTCTAAGGTGGCAAACATCAGCGGTTGATCTTTACAATATGGTAACTGGTAGTTTGGCGACGTTTTGGAGGCGATAAAAATTACTACCCTGGGACTTTGGTAATAATGTGAGCAGTACTCAGTTCTGATTACGCATTATTTTGTGTGAGGGAAATGAAAGATCATGGGATATGTCATGTGATATTAATGGACGAATTACGGTTCTTTAATCGGAAAAGGGGGGAAATCGGGAAAAAATCTGGAAATTTTGTATTTGGCTTTATTCTGTGTTGTGTGAAGCAGTGTTCGTGAATTTTTGGATCCCATGGCCGTAACTAAAGTGAATTCGAAATGGGTATTTATGTATGTATTAATTTAATGTATGTGCTCATTTATATTTTAAGTAGTGTTTTTGAATTTAATTATATTTTAATTAAATGATAGTTATTTTGTGAATTTTATGTTTGTAGGAATTTGGTATACGTTAAAGTTGAAGTAAACGTGCATGGAAATAATTTAAATATCTGACACTAAGTATTTGTAATGCTTGCGGTATGAATTCGTTGGTGACGTGTATAATGTAATAGATGATTTAGAGGTAAAAGTTTTTGGATATTTTATTTATTTTATATGTGGAAATGTTCATATTTGGAAAGGGTAAATACTTTTTCGCGATCAGGTAATTTCATATATGTTCTTTTTACCGGGTTTAAAGATTGAGAAAATTGTCATGTATTTTCGTGAAATTTTTCTAATTTATGAGAAAAAAGCAGTGTACATGGATATAGTGAAGAGTGTGCGCAATGCCATTTTTGTGCAATTCTGGGATGTTTTTTAAAGTAAAAATAAGTCGACGTGTACATGGTTTAGTGATATTTTAATTAAATGATAGTTATTTTGTGAATTTTATGTTTGTAGGAATTTGGTACACGTTTAAGTTGAAGTAAACGTGCATGGAAATAATTTAAATATTTGATACTAAGTATTTGTAATGGTTGCGGTATGAATTCGTTGGTGACGTGTATAATGTAATAGATGATTTAGAGGTAAAAGTTTTTGGATATTTTATTTATTTTATATGTGGAAATGTTCATATTTGTAAAGGGTAAATACTTTTTCGCGATCATGTAATTTCATATATGTTCTTTTTACCGGGTTTAAAGATTGAGAAAATTGTCATGTATTTTCGTGAAATTTTTCTAATTTATGAGAAAAAAGCAGTGTACATGGATATAGTGAAGAGTATGCGCAATGCCATTTTTGTCCAATTCTGGGATGTTTTTTTAAGTAAAAATAAGTCAGCGTGTACATGGTTTATGTGTATGTGTTATTTTGAAAAACGCGTAAGGAGTATGGTATTGTGCACTTTTTCCCAATTTTGCAGTGAATATTTGTCATGATTAAGCAGTTTTGTTAGATAAAATTTCTAGCATAAGTGTAATTCGGCTAGTAGATTGTTGGAAGAAGTGTTCAGTAGATAAAAAGAAAAGAAGCATGTCTTTACTTCGTGAAGACAAAATGGCGGCGGGAAAAAAAAAAATAGAGGGTTGCTGTAGGAGAGTTGGTCGCCAAATGTTCGCCAAAAAAACGCCAGGTTACCATAATGTAAAGATCAACCACATCAGCATATCAAAAGGAAGTATAATTTGAGTTATTAAGCAAGGATTATATGAAAAATTAAAAAATAAAACACTTAACAATTTTCCAGAAATCTTCCTGTAGTTTCCTTGCACTGTTGTTATTCTTTTGTGCACAGAGATAAAAAGCACCACAGAATTGCATAAATATGTCAGTAAGCATCACTGAGGTTATCAGATTAAAAAATCAGTACTTTTTTATTATAGGGGCCCCCAAGATTGAATCGCTGATCAACCGAGATATCTTGCTATGTATTCTTATACCTCACTATATATGACATTTTGGAAACCACTATAAGAAAGTATCTTAAAATCATCTAACAAATAAATTTTCCAATTTAGAATGCTATTAAATTTCTTCATTCTATTTAATAGAATTAGTTCTTTTTTATATGTTATTATAATTGTTTATTTTACTTTTGTTAGAATAGGTGGTTTTTTTCCAAGGCTTGCATATTTTAACATATAGTTTTACTGTTTATAATATTCTATTGCATGTAAGTTCTTAAAAGAACAGATAACTTGTTATTTTGGTTTTCTGTTTATCTTGTTTCTTATTCTGATATAAGCATCAGAAAGCTAGTTAACTTTTATTTTGTAGTTGTATTTTTTAGTTATTGTAGTAGGTCATATATATAGTCTCACTAATGTGATTGTGTAATAATACTTTAAAAAAATCTAATTAAAAGCTTACAGCATGTGTGCATAAGTAATGTTTCTGCGTGTGATGTTTAATTTTATAGCTACTTCAGATTTCTATATACATTGAAGAGGAACTATATATAAATGGTATAATACATATTAGAGGAAATCAGAGTAATTTTTCTCTGATATATATTATACCATTTTACCCCAACTAACTTAGAATTTTTTCCATCCAGATCTAGTATAATATATGGCATCCCAGTGTAAGTACCCAGCTTACTGAGTATTATGAGCTTATATTTTTCACCTTTAGGATTTACACACAGGTAGAGGCATGAAACAACAGATAACATTGATAGTTGATGGAATTCATATTTATGTGATGGTATCCATAAATAACTGTGGGTGGATAAAGTACCATACTTCAAAATGG